TACTATGCCAAAATGTTATCCTTTTTGATATGAATTTGAGTAAATAAATGTGTTCTAGATAATTTTTATTAAACTGATGACGCAAATGCTAAATTATATGCAAGATAGATATGAGTAACGAAAATTGTGCCAGAACTCCCAAAATAGCCCTACTCCCGTGGCTTTTGCTATCCTCAGAGCATTATCAAGTGTTTCTCGAATTCCTTTTTCCTCATTGCTCTTCAGAGACATTAAAAAACAACTTGCGATTTGAGATTTAACAGTGCCTGAATTATATAATACTGGTGATGCAAACGTCATCACCCTATCTACTAACATTTGAAACGTGGTACTAATATTTGAAATTATATTCCTCTTAGACCGAAGATTAATAAAAACTGCAGTTCTCAAATACAAATATAAAGGTCGTTCAATTAATCTTTTATCATGTGTCCTCAATAAATACGATTCATAAAACAGATTAAGTGCTGTATATTCCAATGTAAAATCTTTGACTGTATCAACAATACTTTGTAATGATTCACTATGTATTTTGACAAATTTAAAAAACTCTCGGAGATCACCCCATCATCATAAAGTGTCTTCATGTTATTAAAAAATGAATTTGATGTTTCCCCATCGATCTTTATCATCAATATCTTACCCGCAATATCATTGAATAATGGGTCATAATTTGATAATGTTGCAAGATCCCTGGTTAAACTTTCGAAATCTATCTTTTCATTAGTCATATATGAATCCCATTTCATTGACTTCATAGCAGAATTAAGAATAGTTTGATCGATTTCATCACAATATTTCATAACCATGGAATAAACTAAAGGTTTATTATCGTTTATAAAATCCATGCTACCAGTAGCAGAATTAGGATAAACGACACGATATTTTCTTGGTTCAGACATATCACATAAATTATATATTGACATCTTGTCGTATCTCATGGTATACGTTTTAAATACCAAAATTAATAGTTTATTACTCACAACTTATAATAAAAATATTGATCATTGGATCTACATATGAAACACATACATTTGATAAACTTACTTTTTACAATTCATAATCTTTATTAAACTTTAGATGGATCTATTTTAAAACACTCATTATAGAATTTTTTCAATTTGTCGATCCGTTCTTTGCCCTGTTTGATCTTCATAGAAAGAAATTTGTGATTGAAATTATACAATCTCAAACCTGAGGGATCAGTGACTCTTGATAACGCGGTATAGAATAGTGAAAGATCAAACCCATCGGCATACACATCCACTTTGGGAATAGACAAACTCTGTGACTTGTGTACTGTTGAAGCATATGCTAACTTTAATGGATATTGAATCCTTGTATAAGCTTTGATATCAGGACCATTTGGATCAATACAACCAATGCTCGCCCTTGGAACAATGTAATCAAAGCTCACCTTTGGAATACGAATAAATTTACCAGGGTATTTATCTAAAATCACTAAGGGATCATAATCTTCGTATCTTACATTTTTACCTAAATCACGTTTATATATACGAAGATTATCCAAATTATCCAAATTATCACTCCTCGATACACCAGATTCTCGTTTATACCAACCACTTAAAGTACCTAACATACCATTCGCAACCTTATCATTTAAATTTTTAATCACTTGAATACGTGCCCCATACTTCAGATAAAGCTCTTTCTGTGATAACGTTTCTTTAAGAAAAGTCTTACATGCTTCATCATATCTCGATCTCAACTCCTTGATCTTTACTGCTTGATCACCTCCTTTATCTTTAAGTTCCAACTCCAAAATTATTCTGCGATATTCAGAATTATCTGTCGAAATATATTTAACTTCTGTAGATTTCAAAGCATTGTAAACTTCGATATTTACCCTATTAACATCCTTATTATGATAATATAATTTGATGGCTCCGTTATAATCAGCCTTAGATGATTCCAACCTTTTCAAATAATTTAATTCATAGTTGGATAACTTTCCACAACGAATATTATTTAAAACTCTAACAAAATCCTTATCCTTTTGTCTAAAAACATCCTTCAAGTAAATATATTGCAAATTTAGTCCTTTCCAACATGATGATTCAAAAATCATTTCTGCCGTATCCTCCACAGGAGGTAATTGGAAAAAACCTCCTCCGATAATAACTTGAATACCACCAAATGATTTG